GGGTGGCACAGGGATGGGGTGGCACGGGAACAGGGTGGCACAGGGGTGGGATGGCACGGGAACAGGGTGGCACAGGGATGGGGTGGCACGGGAACAGGGTGGCACAGGGGTGGGATGGCACGGGAACAGGGTGGCACAGGGATGGGGTGGCACGGGAACAGGGTGGCACAGGGGTGGGATGGCACGGGAACAGGGTGGCACAGGGATGGGGTGGCACGGGAACAGGGTGGCACAGGGGTGGGATGGCACGGGAACAGGGTGGCACAGGGATGGGGTGGCACGGGAACAGGGTGGCACAGGGGTGGGATGGCACGGGAACAGGGTGGCACAGGGATGGGGTGGCACGGGAACAGGGTGGCACAGGGGTGGGATGGCACGGGAACAGGGTGGCACAGGGATGGGGTGGCACGGGAACAGGGTGGCACAGGGGTGGGATGGCACGGGAACAGGGTGGCACAGGGATGGGGTGGCACGGGAACAGGGTGGCACAGGGGTGGGATGGCACGGGAACAGGGTGGCACAGGGATGGGGTGGCACGGGAACAGGGTGGCACAGGGGTGGGATGGCACGGGAACAGGGTGGCACAGGGATGGGGTGGCACGGGAACAGGGTGGCACAGGGGTGGGATGGCACGGGAACAGGGTGGCACAGGGATGGGGTGGCACGGGAACAGGGTGGCACAGGGGTGGGATGGCACGGGAACAGGGTGGCACAGGGATGGGGTGGCACGGGAACAGGGTGGCACAGGGGTGGGATGGCACGGGAACAGGGTGGCACAGGGATGGGGTGGCACGGGAACAGGGTGGCACAGGGGTGGGATGGCACGGGAACAGGGTGGCACAGGGATGGGGTGGCACGGGAACAGGGTGGCACAGGGGTGGGATGGCACGGGAACAGGGTGGCACAGGGATGGGGTGGCACGGGAACAGGGTGGCACAGGGGTGGGATGGCACGGGAACAGGGTGGCACAGGGATGGGGTGGCACGGGAACAGGGTGGCACAGGGGTGGGATGGCACGGGAACAGGGTGGCACAGGGATGGGGTGGCACGGGAACAGGGTGGCACAGGGGTGGGATGGCACGGGAACAGGGTGGCACAGGGATGGGGTGGCACGGGAACAGGGTGGCACAGGGGTGGGATGGCACGGGAACAGGGTGGCACAGGGATGGGGTGGCACGGGAACAGGGTGGCACAGGGGTGGGATGGCACGGGAACAGGGTGGCACAGGGATGGGGTGGCACGGGAACAGGGTGGCACAGGGGTGGGATGGCACGGGAACAGGGTGGCACAGGGATGGGGTGGCACGGGAACAGGGTGGCACAGGGGTGGGATGGCACGGGAACAGGGTGGCACAGGGATGGGGTGGCACGGGAACAGGGTGGCACAGGGGTGGGATGGCACGGGAACAGGGTGGCACAGGGATGGGGTGGCACGGGAACAGGGTGGCACAGGGGTGGGATGGCACGGGAACAGGGTGGCACAGGGATGGGGTGGCACGGGAACAGGGTGGCACAGGGGTGGGATGGCACGGGAACAGGGTGGCACAGGGATGGGGTGGCACGGGAACAGGGTGGCACAGGGGTGGGATGGCACGGGAACAGGGTGGCACAGGGATGGGGTGGCACGGGAACAGGGTGGCACAGGGGTGGGATGGCACGGGAACAGGGTGGCACAGGGATGGGGTGGCACGGGAACAGGGTGGCACAGGGGTGGGATGGCACGGGAACAGGGTGGCACAGGGATGGGGTGGCACGGGAACAGGGTGGCACAGGGGTGGGATGGCACGGGAACAGGGTGGCACAGGGATGGGGTGGCACGGGAACAGGGTGGCACAGGGGTGGGATGGCACGGGAACAGGGTGGCACAGGGATGGGGTGGCACGGGAACAGGGTGGCACAGGGGTGGGATGGCACGGGAACAGGGTGGCACAGGGATGGGGTGGCACGGGAACAGGGTGGCACAGGGGTGGGATGGCACGGGAACAGGGTGGCACAGGGATGGGGTGGCACGGGAACAGGGTGGCACAGGGGTGGGATGGCACGGGAACAGGGTGGCACAGGGATGGGGTGGCACGGGAACAGGGTGGCACAGGGGTGGGATGGCACGGGAACAGGGTGGCACAGGGATGGGGTGGCACGGGAACAGGGTGGCACAGGGGTGGGATGGCACGGGAACAGGGTGGCACAGGGATGGGGTGGCACGGGAACAGGGTGGCACAGGGGTGGGATGGCACGGGAACAGGGTGGCACAGGGATGGGGTGGCACGGGAACAGGGTGGCACAGGGGTGGGATGGCACGGGAACAGGGTGGCACAGGGATGGGGTGGCACGGGAACAGGGTGGCACAGGGGTGGGATGGCACGGGAACAGGGTGGCACAGGGATGGGGTGGCACGGGAACAGGGTGGCACAGGGGTGGGATGGCACGGGAACAGGGTGGCACAGGGATGGGGTGGCACGGGAACAGGGTGGCACAGGGGTGGGATGGCACGGGAACAGGGTGGCACAGGGATGGGGTGGCACGGGAACAGGGTGGCACAGGGGTGGGATGGCACGGGAACAGGGTGGCACAGGGATGGGGTGGCACGGGAACAGGGTGGCACAGGGGTGGGATGGCACGGGAACAGGGTGGCACAGGGATGGGGTGGCACGGGAACAGGGTGGCACAGGGGTGGGATGGCACGGGAACAGGGTGGCACAGGGATGGGGTGGCACGGGAACAGGGTGGCACAGGGGTGGGATGGCACGGGAACAGGGTGGCACAGGGATGGGGTGGCACGGGAACAGGGTGGCACAGGGGTGGGATGGCACGGGAACAGGGTGGCACAGGGATGGGGTGGCACGGGAACAGGGTGGCACAGGGGTGGGATGGCACGGGAACAGGGTGGCACAGGGATGGGGTGGCACGGGAACAGGGTGGCACAGGGGTGGGATGGCACGGGAACAGGGTGGCACAGGGATGGGGTGGCACGGGAACAGGGTGGCACAGGGGTGGGATGGCACGGGAACAGGGTGGCACAGGGATGGGGTGGCACGGGAACAGGGTGGCACAGGGGTGGGATGGCACGGGAACAGGGTGGCACAGGGATGGGGTGGCACGGGAACAGGGTGGCACAGGGGTGGGATGGCACGGGAACAGGGTGGCACAGGGATGGGGTGGCACGGGAACAGGGTGGCACAGGGGTGGGATGGCACGGGAACAGGGTGGCACAGGGATGGGGTGGCACGGGAACAGGGTGGCACAGGGGTGGGATGGCACGGGAACAGGGTGGCACAGGGATGGGGTGGCACGGGAACAGGGTGGCACAGGGGTGGGATGGCACGGGAACAGGGTGGCACAGGGATGGGGTGGCACGGGAACAGGGTGGCACAGGGGTGGGATGGCACGGGAACAGGGTGGCACAGGGATGGGGTGGCACGGGAACAGGGTGGCACAGGGGTGGGATGGCACGGGAACAGGGTGGCACAGGGATGGGGTGGCACGGGAACAGGGTGGCACAGGGGTGGGATGGCACGGGAACAGGGTGGCACAGGGATGGGGTGGCACGGGAACAGGGTGGCACAGGGGTGGGATGGCACGGGAACAGGGTGGCACAGGGATGGGGTGGCACGGGAACAGGGTGGCACAGGGGTGGGATGGCACGGGAACAGGGTGGCACAGGGATGGGGTGGCACGGGAACAGGGTGGCACAGGGGTGGGATGGCACGGGAACAGGGTGGCACAGGGATGGGGTGGCACGGGAACAGGGTGGCACAGGGGTGGGATGGCACGGGAACAGGGTGGCACAGGGATGGGGTGGCACGGGAACAGGGTGGCACAGGGGTGGGATGGCACGGGAACAGGGTGGCACAGGGATGGGGTGGCACGGGAACAGGGTGGCACAGGGGTGGGATGGCACGGGAACAGGGTGGCACAGGGATGGGGTGGCACGGGAACAGGGTGGCACAGGGGTGGGATGGCACGGGAACAGGGTGGCACAGGGATGGGGTGGCACGGGAACAGGGTGGCACAGGGGTGGGATGGCACGGGAACAGGGTGGCACAGGGATGGGGTGGCACGGGAACAGGGTGGCACAGGGGTGGGATGGCACGGGAACAGGGTGGCACAGGGATGGGGTGGCACGGGAACAGGGTGGCACAGGGGTGGGATGGCACGGGAACAGGGTGGCACAGGGATGGGGTGGCACGGGAACAGGGTGGCACAGGGGTGGGATGGCACGGGAACAGGGTGGCACAGGGATGGGGTGGCACGGGAACAGGGTGGCACAGGGGTGGGATGGCACGGGAACAGGGTGGCACAGGGATGGGGTGGCACGGGAACAGGGTGGCACAGGGGTGGGATGGCACGGGAACAGGGTGGCACAGGGATGGGGTGGCACGGGAACAGGGTGGCACAGGGGTGGGATGGCACGGGAACAGGGTGGCACAGGGATGGGGTGGCACGGGAACAGGGTGGCACAGGGGTGGGATGGCACGGGAACAGGGTGGCACAGGGATGGGGTGGCACGGGAACAGGGTGGCACAGGGGTGGGATGGCACGGGAACAGGGTGGCACAGGGATGGGGTGGCACGGGAACAGGGTGGCACAGGGGTGGGATGGCACGGGAACAGGGTGGCACAGGGATGGGGTGGCACGGGAACAGGGTGGCACAGGGGTGGGATGGCACGGGAACAGGGTGGCACAGGGATGGGGTGGCACGGGAACAGGGTGGCACAGGGGTGGGATGGCACGGGAACAGGGTGGCACAGGGATGGGGTGGCACGGGAACAGGGTGGCACAGGGGTGGGATGGCACGGGAACAGGGTGGCACAGGGATGGGGTGGCACGGGAACAGGGTGGCACAGGGGTGGGATGGCACGGGAACAGGGTGGCACAGGGATGGGGTGCCCTACTCTCTCCATCCCCTACTCTCTCCACCTTTGCACCCCCATCTCCCTCTTTACCCCCACTTTTTGCACCCCCTACTCACTCCTCCTTTACACGCCCCATCACCCTCCCTACTCCTCCTTTGCCCCTCCCACCCTCACCTTCAACCAGGAGGAAAAACCCCCGGGGGTTTTTCTGGAGCATCCTGATGGCCACGGCCACCATCTCGGTGAGGGACGGGTCCGTCTGGTTATTCCTGTCCAGCTCATACACCATGTCACCCGGCTCTGAGAGGCCTGGGGACAGGGACACTGCTGGGGACAGCCTTTCCCAAAGGGCCCGATCCAGCCCCTCCCCGCAATCTGCTCCTGGTGCTGGTTCCAGTGTCCCCCCTCATCCCCAGTGGATCCAGGAGCTGAGGATGGGGGGTTGCTCTGAATCCTGCTCCCTGGCTGGGCTGGGGAGCTGCAGCCTGGGCCAGAAAACCCAACACAGCCCTGTCTCCCCCGGTGGGAGGGGGGAGAATTGCACCCCTGGGAGGGAGTAGAAGCATCTTTGGGGAGGTACAGGCATCTCTGGGGAGAGGGGATAGCAGCACCCTTGGCAAGGGAACGTGGAACAAGCATCCCTTGGAGGTATTAGCATCCCCAGAGGAGTAGCAACACCCGGGAGGGGGAGGGTGTAACAGCATTTCTTGAGGGTACCAGCATCTTGGGGCTGGGTGGGTGTGTAACAGCATCCCGGGGGTACCAGCATCCCTTGGTACCAGCATCTTTGGGGGTTGGAGGGGGGAGAGGTGTAACTGCATCCCTTGGGGGAACCAGCATCCTTTGGAGGGTGGTACTGTGTCCCCGGGGGGGTACCAGCATCACTGGGGGATAACTGGCTCCTCCAGCTGCACCCCGGGCCAGGCCAGGGGATCCCCCAAACCACCCAACAAAGGCAGGGGCACCCTGGGACTCACCCAGGAGGAAATCCACACGGCTGAGGTTGAGTGCCAGCAGGTCCCGCCGGTGCCACACGTACTTGGCCTCCTGGGGACAGGGGACAGCCAGGTTGTCACCTCCCCACCACCTCCACCAGCTCCCCCAAAATACCTCTTTCTGCCCCACCACCACCAACCTGATGAGCCTGATGAAGTCCCAGCGGGGTGATGTGTATGTACCAACCCCCTCCCCCCTACCAGAAAAAAATGTCCCTGTCACCTTGCCGGGGGGCTTGGCATCGTGCCAGGCCTGGACAAGATCCCTGCGATCCAGGCGGGTGCCCCGATGCTTCTCCTCCTGGGGATACTCCACATCACTGGCGTTTTTGGGGAACATGTATTTCCGCCCACCGCCCAAGATCACCTGAAAAGGAAGGGATGGAAAAATGCATTAATTTCCCCTTCTCCCCCACCCCCCGCCATTACTTGGGGTTTAAACCCATTTTGGGTTGAACAAGGGTGGGGAACCCCGAGGAGGAGGAGCCAGATATCCAGGAACACCCTGGTGCTGCCGCGGGAGGGAAAAAAGAAACCGGGAGAAAACACCCAAGGAATTTCACCTCGCTGGAAATAACCCTCCATCTCTTCTTATTCATTAAAAAAACAAACAAACAAAAAAAAACAAACCAACAAAAAAACCAAACCCTCCAGGACAAAAATAATCATTTCCAGCAGCAAATTTGCCCTTTTTATATATATATATATATATATTTTTCTGTGGGGTCCCCGGGTGAACCCGCTGGGCCGGAGCCCCATCCCGCGGCGCTCGCTGTTTGCTTTGGAGCCTGATTTATTTGGCCTCTGGTATTTATAACCCAGCAGAGATTTATTTTATTTTTTACCCTTTTTTTTTTTTTTTAAATTATTTTTATTTAAATCTCTTCCCCCTCCCCCTTTCTCTCCAGGCAGAAGGTGAATTATAAAGCTGCAAAACGTCACCGCCAAAATTATTAAGCGAAAAAAATAAAAACGGGGGAAAAAAAAATGTCCTTTCCCCACTATATAATTATTTCCAGCCTGGGACAGAGTTAAAATTATATTAAAGGGAAAAAAAACAGGAGAAGAGGCTATTAAAGAGCTAAATAACAGGCTGAAATGTTTTGCTTCGGGGCTATTTTGAAGGACAGAAGAGGATTTATTTACAGGGCTGAATTTCTGTGTAAATCCGCAGCGAGGGGCAGAACCAGGGGGGAAATGGAGGGTTTGGGGTATGGGAAGGATGGGAAAGGAGGGAGGTGCTGTGGAAGGGGCTTTGGGTGGGACTAGATGTGATCGTGGTTCCAGCCCTATGTCTGATGGAGGTCCTGGTCCCATATCCACCCAAAAGTCCTGGTACCCCACCCATGGGTGGTCCTGGTTCCACATCGGTTGGAGGTTCTCGCTCTGCCACAGTGGGTTGTTCTGGTCTCTCATTTACTGGCATCCTGGTTCTGCACCCATGGGTGGTCCTGGTCCCACATCTCTTAGGGGCTCTGGCTTTGCACCCTTGGGTGGTCTTGGTCCTGGTTCCACATTTGGTGGTGGTTCTGGCCCTGCATTCATTGGTAGCCCCAGTCCAACATCTTCTCGGGGTCCCCACTCTGCACCTATTGGTGGTCCTGGCCCCATATCTACCCACAGCCCTGGTCCTGCACCCATTGGTGGTCTCAGCCACATCTACTGGAGCAGTCCTAGCCTTGCACCCACTCACAGTCCCAGTCCTGCACTCTTTGGTGGTTCCAACCCTCCACCCATCTCTGGTCCTGGTCCCATATAGCTACCCATGGCCCTGTCCTCACCCTTGTGTGGCTCCAGCCCACATCCCTGGTGGCCTTGTCCCCACCCCTACCTCGATGTCAGGGATGTTCTCCACCAGCTGCCGGGCGATGTCCCTGCAGCCGCCCTCCAGCGCGTCCGGGGGCATCTCCCCATCCGAGTACCAGTCGCGGTTGGCAGAGTGGGCGTAGGCGGCGCTGGGCGTCGCGTGGGTCACGCGCGTGGTGGTGACGATGCCCACGGCCTTGCCTGCACCACACATTGGGGGAGGGGGTAATGGTGGGAACGCCCCCCACCCCCACCGTTTCAGCCCCTCGCCCGCCAGCCCCTCACCTTCATCCTTGGCCCAGCGGAGGATGGAGGTGACCTCCTGGCCCTTGGTGGTGTTGCAGCGGTCGCGGGTGACGCCGGCGCTGACGCCCACGGTCCCCTCGTTGGCTTTGACGCCGCAGAGGTAGGCGGTGGCTGTGCCCGCGCTGTCGGGCACCTGAGCGTTGGTGTTGTATGTCTGGGGAGGTGGGGGGGCGGTAAATAGACCATCAGCACCACCACTGGCATTGTCACCATCACTGTCATCGGCACCACCGCCAACACCTTTGTCATCACCACCACCACTACCATTGCCATCATCATCACCTTCACCACCAGCATTGTCATCATCACCTTCATCATCACCACTCCCACTGTCACCATCACAGTTGTCATCATCACCACCATCACTCCCACCCTGGGGTTTCATCACCATCATCCCCCCCTCGGAGCTCCCCACCTCATGCTGTCTGGCAGCACCCATCCCACCCATCCCCCCCCCTTTTCCTCCCTGCCCCCCCGTATTTCACCCCTTTCCCCCCTGAACACGGTCACCCATCATCTCCTTGCTG